TATCTATGTCTTACACTTTATCTTATTCATGATTATACTGAGAATTTATATTTTTGTAATGTCTATATCAGATCATTTATATGACATCATCCATATCACATCATGTCTTCAATCAGATATTAACCAAATCATTACTGCTAATAACATCGTTGCTGTTACGAATATTACTGTCAATTATGAGAATAAACTTCACGTTCGCTATTCACGTTTCGTCTTCAACGCTAAAGAGAGATCGCATCCAGTATACAAATTTCAGAACGTAAGCATCAAGATTTAAAACCGTTTGAATATGGGAATTTTCATCTCATGCTCGAGCATAGAATTGCCTTTTCTGTAAGGTGAAAGTGTGTACACACGTACTTTTAGGCCGAGGTGAAAGTTAAACATAATGATTCATAAAATTCCGACTGACGAGATAACGCATTGTGTGCTTAACAATATTTTTCAATTGTTTAAAAGTACTCTGCCTCAGTTGCATTCAGTAATTCCAAAACCTCATTCCTCTTAGTCAAGCGGTCATGAAAGTGAATCATTGCCATTTTACGAAGTGAAGAACTCATTTCAAGACGTATCCCTGAACAAATTCTATTTTATCTTTTCTAAACAACCTCCTATAAGGTTGCTCAATTTTCAAATTTTGTTCGTAATTTTTTATTTATTCTAGGAATTTATTCCAGTGAACAGGAAATAATGAAAGCTACTCAACGTGTGTGTCATTCTGCTTTATGAAGCATTATTCGTATCCCATTTGTTATGTCTCAAACATGTTGTGAAATAAACCATCCAGCTGAATTACCATCATCCTCAATTAAGAGCTATGAAAACCCAACAATATTACAGTCTAAAGTGAAAAATTTTTGCTCAATAAATAGTCAGAAACAATTCAAAATCCTGCGCATGTTTTTTTTTCAGATGATTTAGAACAGATGAAACTTTTTCATCGCGAACAGCTTCTGCTTGGAGAAGCCTTTGTATTTCAATATTGTATTAATTGTGCACCTGTTCCTAATGAGGCACTTACATGATCAATTGAATAATTATCAAATCAAATGTTGCTTTCAGCTGTCTTCATCAATTATAAAATATCATCATAAGAAATTGTCTGAAGCACTTCAATGTATCTTACGTGTATGTATATAAGTAATTCCTTTCGATACGTTGCTAATTCTGATCAACTTCGACGAGAAGACGTGTTGCGATTATTTTATAGATAATCAAATGGCTCTAGCAAGAAGGCTCTCAACTATCTTCATCGTCGCTCTACTTACAGTCATCATAAATGCTCAAGAAACAAACGTATTACCGACATTTTATGACTGTAAGTTTTTTTTTTGCTGAATTCATTTAATTGGACCTTTAGGGATATTCTATTTTCAGTTTTTTGTTTTGTTTCCATTGTGCTTCAATCTCCATGAGTAATCCATCATTCTATGCGATCGTAGCGGATCAAAATGAGTTAATGGATTAATACGAGACTGGGTTTCATTTCAAAAGACCCAATCTATTCTTTCATCCGATGTAATTCTGAGAAAACTAAGGTATTATGTGGCGTGATGCGAGTTCAAGTGCGAGATGCATGGAGTATGCCATGAGAAATGCACGTCGTAGCAGAAGTGTGTCTCAACGGTAGATGTTCTCTTCGTTCATAACCAATGATAATCAAGTTTATTCCTGAAGCTTTTCGCTCTTATCGCTCGTTTATTCTTAACGATCAATTTCGATATTATTGTGAGACTAACTTTGAATCACATACATTTAATTTCAGGTCTTCAATCCTGCCGTTTCTATAAGAAGGAAATCGATCTCTTGGAAATGTAATAACGGATGGCAAAGAATTCTTATATTTGCTTGATTTTTGCTCTTGATTCAATTGTGTGATCGTAGACGATGAATCAGAATTCTTTCCTTCAATATTTTCAATAAAGACTTCATATTATTCAGTCATGCATTCATTGAATTGGATAAATATGCGATTATCAATGCAATCATTGTAATAAACGTTCTGCAGCGAGAATGATTCGCTATCGATTAAAGTTTAAGAAATAATGAAAGTTTAAGAGTGACTGTGATGTACTGATTAATGAAAAACTTCGCATATGAACGTAACGCTTCTGTTTTTATATCTTTAATGGTGGAGAGTTATACAGTAAAAACTGAGTTTACGAACACATTTTGTTCTAAAATTTTGCTCGTCACCCGAATTGTCTCCGACAATTAGCCATAAGCTCAAACAAAATTGGACAAAACAGTAAATCAGCCTACTATGTCACCGATAGCGAACCTTAAGTGGTTTGTGCGCGATATATTGTGATACATCAAAGTCTCTTCAGCAAGAACGACTCGAATCGTCTAGAATCCAGATTGTTTGCTGCATTCCATATGAGATTTCTTTCAAACAACGTTTAATTGAACGGTGCTTTCATATAAATACAAAGTTCAAGAAACACAGTGTTCTAGACGTGAAGCGCTAGCTGAGGAGTTCCGGATATAAGATGCAGGACTGCGCATAAATGATTCCAGACAATGATGAGGCTTGAATGGTGGCCGATGATGAAGGTGGTAAAAGTCTTAGATCATGCCGGATCGTTTCGTCGATACGCTGAAACCATTATTAGCGCAGTACATACTCCGTGGAACGCATATCATTTCCGATGGATGGCGTTTGTACCATAATATTGATGTACCGAATAATGGCGTGCATAGTCACCTGGTGATCATTCACGATGCATATTTCGTGCATTCGGTATTCCAAACCTGCACACGCATGACGTGGAGAAGCTGTGGATGCGAGTAAAGCACAAGCTAAAGGCACAGGTGGAACCACAAGGGATTGAATTTATGTGGTAACCTGCTGTTTACGGTGACTCGTTTAGCGTTCCTTTCAGCTGTTGCCGACTTCAATCCGCTTTGAAGTAGTTTCAGTTTCTGTGCTGAATGACATATCAGTGGTTGTTTTCCTCATCTTACACAGCTTTTCCTCATACCGGATCCCATCTAT